TGTCCCTGAAAGGATTGGCGAGGTTTTTAAAATGATACACATTCCAGTTTATACTAAGCTTATTTGTTTACATTGATAAATAACATGCCAATGAAATGAAATAAAATAAAATAGCAATTTTAGGACATTATCCATTATCATCACTAAGAAACATCCAATGCTGCTAATTTGCTGAAAATATTTTTAACTAGTATTCTGGGCAAATTACTATTTGTCTATTCTGCAGAAACTATGTAATTATAGTAAAGCAAGGTATTATAGTAACATAGGCTCAAATTTTGTTTTCCTGGATATATCCTAAAGACCAAAATATTTAGTTATTTTAGTTCCTTTATATGTTCAAACGAGGAGCAGTCATTTACTGTAGATACAATGTGCTGCACCTAAGCTGCATAAGTGCAGACTCCTGGTGTATATCTTAGCTTGATGCGTGTGTGTGTGTGTGTGTGTGTGTGTGTGTGTGTGTGTATGTGTGTGGTTTCCTAACACATTAACCACTTCAGATTATAAATACATGTAATCCATCAAAATCTAAACGGCTTAACCTTTAGCACTAACATCTGTTAGAAAACTAGCAACATAATCATCTGGGATAAAGGCTTTTTAGGGATTCTGCCAAGTAACTGCAAAGATAAAAGAAATAAAATTGCAAGTTCAGAAAAAGCAAACAAAACAAAAAGTTCTCAACACTGTATTATTTTCTGTAAGTCCCACAAACATCTCAAAACTGGGGTCATCATAGCCTAGTGGATGGTTAATGCTCGAAGGATACGATCTGCTGAAAACTATTTGAATCTCAATGAGCTACTTCAGAGAAGATTGCACGTCATCTGAAGTAATGTGAGTCTTCTCCAAAACCAATCAAGTTATTCCAAAATGATTAGAACTACAATAAAGTGATTTAGGCAATCCAGAATCAGATAAAAATGACTTTGTGGAATGCAGTCCCAAGTGGCAGGAGGGAGGGGCCCTTGCCCAGAGAGCAAAGAGATCATGAAGCTTAGAATATTTCATATTCAGGAAAAGGGCGAAAGTAGACCCTCCCTAGAATGTCACTGGAGTATATCTAGTATTTAGCAGACTGTTGCTTTAGTTTGGCAAGATTTCTGTCAATAGGTGAACACAATAAGGTAACTGCTCAAAAACAACTATACATGTCATTTTTGATTCCTTGAGCCTTACATAAATCTTGCCAGACTAAAGCGGCACATTTGCTGTCTTTTTGCTTTCTGTAAAGGCCCTCTCCCTTCAGCAATTTGGGAATACATTCCACAAGTACACACACACACACACACACACACACACACACACACAAAAGGCAAAGGGAGAATGGAGAGTAAAAAGTAGGCTGTGACTGACAACTTTGCTTTTACACAAGGAGTGACTATATACCCTACCGTTATATTTATAACTATCTGTATTTGACTGAAAGTGCAAGTAGGAATGTTCAGAATCTGGTTTACTATCAGCACTAAAAATATACTTTCCACTGCTTTTCCTGAAGATGCTGCCTGTCTGCAAATTAAGAAGGGTATCTTTGAGTTATAAGTAACTGGACGAGAAATATCATGCAAACAGTGCTGTTTTCTGTACTCCTGCTCATAAAGTAAAGAAAACCACTCAATTAACCTGGGTTTCCCCATGAAGCAAAGTGAGTAAAGAACACAACTTCTCTGCCTAAAAGCGGGTAAGGGGAGGAATGTCTGGAAGTGTTTACAAGCAAGGAGATGTTAGATGGACTGCAGAACTCAAAAGCCACAGTGATCAGCTGTGGTCTTCACCTCTCTGCAGCAAAAGGGTGAGAAAGCCCCAACCCATTATTCCATGCACAAGCGGCTTGAATGCTAAAATCTTGGTTGTGTGTCAATTATTTTCAGAAACTGAGTTTTGCATCAAGTACTTCTTTATAAGCTTATGAACTGGCAAGAGGCTCCTTTATTTCTTGTGTGATATGAGTACAATGAGTACAAATGCTGTTGCTACACTTCTCTCAAGAATGTGTTTCACACCCTCTTTAAACTAATATCTGCAAAAAATACTGCCCATTTCTGCCAAAATAACAAAACTACTTAAAACTGTTGTTTAGTAATAATAGCACTTGCATTCCACCTTTGCTTCCAAAATTTTGCAGATTATTTTTAAAGCCTATCTCTACAATATATGTCACATTCATATAAATTTCTTCTAAAGTGATGGGAAAAGAAGAATCCCTTTTAACTCTCTGCCAAGTTCTTTGGAGCAATCCTTCCCTTCCATCAGTTCTGGATAAATTTGTGGAAACTTTATTCTCTCAGGAGAGGCTAACAATTACTCAGTCACATTTGCTAAAAAAAAATAAAACATTTTAAAAGTTTCTCCTAAAAAAGCCCTTTACACTTTGAGGGCCCACCATATTCACAAATTTCAATGTAAGCATTCTTTTATTTTAATAATGTGTCATAAAAACTATTCTGACTTTTTGGTCTGAAAACTGGCAAGCTTCATTCACACAGAAAACATATCGTGTTTGTAAATATTATCCATATCTGTTAAATATTTATTTTAAAAAAGCTTTTTAACTGAGGATGGAGATTTGTTCTTTGAGCTTGTGGGTTGGTTTCTGAACATTTCGTTACCAGACTAGGTGACATCTTCAGAAGAATTGAGGGGATGTCAGTGTCAATGTTTTTCTGCTTATAAGGGCTTTGTGTGATCAATAGGTCTTGTGATGGCGAGGTCACATCAAGTGAAGATCTTGCGATGGGTCTTGACGTGACCCTCACCTTGACATGACATTCACCTGATCTATCACAAAGCCCAACACAAGACCCTCACTTGATGCAACCACACCTAACCCATCACAAGATCTTCACTTGATGTGACCTCCCCATCACAAGATCTACTGATGACATGAAGCCCTTATAAGCAGAACAGCAACACTGACATCCCCTAAATTCTGAATATGTTACCTAGCCTAGTAATGAAACGTTCAGAAACCAATCCACAAGCTCAGAAAATGAACCTTCACCCTCATTCTACAGATATTCACCACTATCACAAACATTATAACTGTTGGTTCATATTCCAGGAAGTTAATACCCTGTACTAACTTTTGGATTTTACAAAGATTTCACTTTAAATTTCAGGTGATAATGTTACATCCAAAGTTATCTGAATTGATTTTTTTCATCTATCTGTGTTTTAAACTGGATTTATAGCAAATTAATTAGAAAGATGTGAGCTAGTCTCTCTTGTAAAACTGATATGGTAGCAATAGCTCTCACACAGAGAATTATCATACACATGGACCTAGGGTGCACTGCAAATTATGTGAAACAATTCCATTATAACAGTAACATGTTGGGAACTAGGGAAGATACTTGTTCAGTTGGCTCTTGATGGCAACAGAGAGCTGGGCTACCTGGCCTCTCTGCCTGGTTTAACGAGGTTCTTTTGATATTCTTTACATAAGGATTTGCAGCCTAAATTTTCTATAAAGCAGCAGTACTGCATTCACTTTAATTATTTTGAAATGCAGCACTGCAAAACCAGTAACCACAAGAGCACTTTTAAAATATTCTCCCCTTTTAGCCTAAGCACATGGAGTTACTTTGAAATTCAGCATAACAGGAGAAGAATCACAGAAAATATCTCCAGATGCTAGCTTTGTCCTTAGTATATTTAAAATATGTTAGTTGAAGGGGAAAGGTTCTAGGTAATCTGAATAAGCAGCACTCTATTCATTAAGTTATGATTTCTTTGAAAAAGCAATTTAGTATTAACTATTTTCAAAGAGAATAGAATGAGGCATAGTATAGAAGATTTGACAGTACATTTTTTTAAAGCCTGTAGTCTGCTATGTATACTACAAAGTAATTTGGTTCACTAATGCTAATAAAGTAACCTTCAAAACGGAATCCTACCACAGCTTGCAACCTATCTGTTGGTTCTAAGTAGGACCTGGTGGCCAGATGTCTTTGCTGCTCTATGTTCCATTTTTCATGTATCTTTTGGCAGTTTGACATCCTACCCCTAAGGTTCCAACCCATTATTCTTGAATTAATAGCTATATTTAGCCAAGGATCACTTCAGTCCTGCTCCAACTTGGTGCATTCCAGATGTCTATAGCACATGTAGATCACCTGAGCTCAAAGTATCACCAATATGGCAATCTGGGCTACAAACTGTTTTACATGACATGGTAAACAGACTTCCTTCAGATGAGATCAGACAGCAAATTTCAAATTGCTAGAAATTATGCACTGCATGACCACGTACATACAATATGAAGGGCATAAAGTTATGGAAAGGTTGCTTAATGGAAATTTGTGGAAAATGCAAGACCACAATTACTGCTTCTGTCTTAAACTACTATAGCTGTTAATAGAGATGGCCACATGGCCTTTTTTGCATGTTCCAAAGAGGTCATTATGGAATAGCATTCTGTCATTTTCCTAAGTTCAATGCTTTCATGCACATACAGAATGTGGCTCTTTTTAAACCAAGTTTACAGTTTGAAGTCATTCTTATTTCATAACCCCAGAGAACCTTTACTTGAATGAGAAGGTGGTAGAAGATAAAAGGAGAATCCTATCAAGTAATTGGTCCTCTGTGGATTTTCCTGGTTTTCTTGACAGTAGTCAAGCATTGTAATTGGCCCTCACATAAATTGTCTCTTGTTGGGAAAAAATATAATTATACTGTCTAAAAATATAACTCAAAAGAATGCCATCAGCTATATCAGGAGCATATTTCAAAATATAAGTTGATTATTTACACATTTAATTTGACAGCATGATTATTAATAAATTGTTTTAATCTTACTTTTGAATTTCAGGTCTGAACATATTTACATTCTTCCTCTGATATGTTCTTTGGAGTAGTATATTCTTTAAAAAAGCCTGAACGGTATACTGATATGTTTGTTCAAGGCATCTGGCAAGCTTTATATTTAGATGGAATTTGCATCTGAGTTCTTCACAATGAATCCTATTTATTGTATTTAAAAGAAATACTCCCACCTGTAATGAGGTCGTGGTGGCTCATTGATCTCCCACACTTCCCATCCAAAATGTGTTGTGAAGAAGGGTGAAGCTGCTGCATAGTTAAGCATTCACTTAATATTTCTTGTTCAGCATCAGAATATGAATATAGCTATAAGAAAGAGATGTTCATTTCAAAGAGTAGAATTCAAATGCAGCTAATTTAATACATATGGCTTTTTGCCCATAGCCTATACATATCTGCAAAAAACAAAACATCATTGTTTCCCTTAGTTCAGCAAGGGGAGATATATTAGGTGCTTGGTGCTTCTTCTAATTTGAGTTTTTTGCATATGCAAATTTATCATACTAATCTACCAGCATCATGTTGATTCTTAGAAAATTACTATGCATTTTATAATTTTACAGAGTAACTGAGCTGCACAGTATTTGCCTCTCATACCTTAAGTTCTGTTTCTCAAAGAAATGCATCAATTGGTAACTGTCTTGGTTGGAATTTTCTAGATAAGGAAAAATGTTGGTACTTCTCAGATTAAAATGAGCAAAATGGTAGGTTGTTGCTCATGTGCAAAAGGTATTGATGATCTGTCAGCTGTTTTCCATGTAAATTAATGCACTGGCAAAAGTGTCTCAAGCATGCTCTCTTCGCAAACCACAATGTCGATCATATTAGAAACAGCAGGAGAGGAGAATTAAGAAAGAAAAGCATTTCTAATTCTTTTTCAAACATACTAATGCTGCCAAGGTTTTGTCATAACACAAAGCTCAAATTACTCCAAAATATCTATCCCCTGTTATGGCTGGGCTAATAAATGGTTATTGTTTTGAAGTTTATAGAATTCAATTCTGCCCTTCTCTTGGTTTGGTTATTCTAAATTAAAAGATCTAGGCCAAGCAGTTTAACCTTCAGTCTTACAGTCAGTTTGTATAAACATTCAATATTCTAGCTAATAAACCAGCTAATCAAGGTTTATGCTATTACTACTACTGCTATAAGTATTGCATAACTGCTTAGTTTTCATCTAAGAATTCATTTCATTGGGGCAGTGCTGCTTAAATAAAGTAGGAAGTAAAGGTTCAATGTTGAAGCAGATGTACTGCATGCAATAAGACATTTCAGGTTAAAAACTTGAGGAAGGGGAAGCTTGCCTCAAAACCTGAAGCCTATACAACTTCTATATCCTTGGTTCTAAGAAATCTTGTGTCTGGAAAATATTGGTACTAACTGAGGCATCTGTAAATCTGTATGATAGAACTACTCAAGAAAGGAATTACAACTGCAATATGAAACCCTCATTTCTTTTGTATCTCATCTAGACATGTACAAAGTGGCAAGGCTTCGACTGCATGATTGCATCTGTCATTGTGATTTTTTTATATCCACTGCCCCATCACTCTGCCATGGATGCTTCAGATGCCAGATGCTTTATTAGCCTCTTTCAGGAATAGGATATTTCCCTCATAGCACTCAGGTTGTGGCTTTTTTTTTCCTGTTCAGAAAATTCACTCATTTTCTCTTCCTGATGGATTCTTGAAAATGAAATGCTTGACACCTGATAGTAACTTTTGTACTCATTCCCCAACAACATTCATAGTAGATTTCCATGGTAATCACATCATTGTGAGGTTCTTGGCAACTGGTCACCCAAAATACAATTGTGTGATGTGATAATCTGATGATGGCCATAAGTGCTTTATGGCCTCTAGAGTACCCTTTCTGAGCCTGTTATAACTTTGAACAGTTGTTACAATGGCCAATCATAAATCAAGGACGATCTGTAGACAAGTTTCAGGATCTGATCAGAGACAATTCATCAATTGACCTAAAGGGGTACAATTTCATCATGTCCTATAGTTGCAAGCAAAAGAGTGTCATTTAAGGCAAACACTATAAGTTTAAGAAAATGAATTGGGGTCCTGTTCCTGTAGTGAAATCACTGAAGGAAAAAAACCAATATCCATTCAGTTAAACATGTAGAGATATACTTCTTGGAATTCCTGATCTTTGAAATGTTGGTCTTACCTTCTTACGCATCTGTTGTTCTTTGGCAGAATGAGCCTTCACATGTTTTCTAAGGGAACTTGGGTCAGTGTAACGTTTAGAGCATCCAGGAATCTGGCAAGCATACGGCTTCTATAAGTGTATGGAGAGGAACAAGGGGAAAAATAGGTAACATGGAAATTATGTTTGCTTTGAAAACATCCTCCTTAAAGTTATGAACTATTATGTTAACAAAATAAAACAGTAATATTCATTGGTGATGTTCAAACATGCTGTAAAGCATTTAACTGTGTGTTCAGCTTGAAACTACAAATTACAGGCAAATATACATAAAAGGCAAATTTACATCCAGGTCTGCTGGAAAGGTCACTTTTTATTCTTTTATTCTCTTCATTCTCAGTTTAGCCAAAATGCTTTACACCTTTGGGAATTTAATAAAGTTTTAATAAAGTCAACTGGATAAAAGTGCAGTCAGAAAAACTGCAATCCAAACTTGAACTATTTACAATGACTTAATAATAGTTTATATATAGTATTCATATTATCACTTTTAAGAAGTACCTCTGCTGTCTCCAATACTCAGAAACTATGCATACAATTCTGCAGATATTTTATCAAGTTTTCATGGTCATGCATCTTGAGTTCTATGGACAACTCGCAGATAGAAAACACCAGTTCATGCAACAGTATTTCTATATGACAAGAGACAAGCAGCTCATTGGCCATTGTGTTCATAGTGAAAATCACCTGGACTGCCTTGAAGGTATTCATACTGACATAAATCAGTATTTAAAAAATTCAATCTAAAATATATTTCTCAAAATCGGATTTTTTAAAGGAAACTTGCTTTCTACCTTATATGCATATTTTATCTTTCATTATCTATTACAATGATAATGTGACACTCCACAGTTGTCTTGGGACTTAACCCTAGCTAACATAGGCAAGGGACTGTAAAACAAATTAAGAGGCAGCCTTGATCTTTAATATTTATTCTTTATTCTGTTTACATGCTGGCCCCACCATTGCTCTCTAATATCTGCTATCCCACAGTATGGAAGGCTGAGCTATCATACCCGATCTTAGAATGATTATAGAACACCATCCTAAAGCATTTTTGCTACAGTTTTAATACCTTTTCACTGGCACCCAAAAAAGTTCTGACAAAATTAAATGATTTTGGATTACAAAGTTAATAGCATTGCCAATATTGAAAAATCAGCTTACTGCTTTTAAAAAAAAATGTACATGTAATCCAGTTTCAGGATAGCCTGAGACCTAAATTTAACCTAATAATCTGCTATTCAATCAAACCAGTACATTCTAGCAGATCTTCGTAATTATTTACAGATTCTCCTTTCAGAGAAGATAAATGACAGATTGACCTGCTTTTGGAATCTGAAATCAATTCCACATGCATTCAATAAGAAATAGGCAGTCCATATAAATCCCCTTTCTTTGTAGACACCTCCAAAGGAATAAGTAGTCCTGCTTCTTGTGCTAGCAGGAAATTTCCAAAGGAATAATAAGATCATTCACCAGCTTGAGATTCCAAAGGCTAACCTGATATGTACCCAAAAACTTGTATATGAAAGTCAATTTACTGAACACAGAGAGAACTGAAATTTGAAGAAGGATGATGGAAACCATTAAATAATTCCTTATGGAATTAACCAGGTAGAGTTCTACCCTGCAATGACGACACATTATTAAGGCTGAGAAAACTAGACCAGAAAAAGCCCATCCATACTAGTCCAAGCCTTTTCAATCTCACTGTCACACAGTATTCAGTTACACAGCTCGCTTATAAAAGGGATTGGAGTTTAAACTGTTATGAACTACCAGTTTTGTGTTACATGCATTTGAAGCACTAACATCAGCATGCAAGATGCATTCTAATTTACTATATATTCATTAATCAAAAACAAAAGCTGCTGGTGTGATACAAAGCTAAAATCCCTGGGAAGATTAACAGGATAAAAATGGATGTTATCTTGTGCAGACTATAAATACCGTAAAAATGTAAAAATAGGTTCAGTAAGAGAAAATAAGTTATTAATAAAAGGTTAGTTAAAATTATTACTGTACCTTTTTGCTGATTAGAAGTATTTCAGATAGGAAGAAAGAATATGGAATAAACGGTACAAACAAAGGAAGAAAAAGGAAGAAGGGAGAAAAACAGAATAGAAAAGTTAAAGAGGCTCTTTGCAATAAGACCATCCAAAAAGATACAAGGAAAGAGAGGGACTTGCTTCTGCGTACATCACAGAATCTACAAACTGCTTTGAGGGATACATCTGCCTTCCCTCCCCCTCCCTTCCACTTGTATTAATGTCAAGCTATTAAACTTCAAAAAGGTGCATCCTATATGACATATTAAGTTTCAAAAAAACCACATTTTAGAAATAATTACAAATTCAAATCCCTAAAGCTGATTTTCAAATAAATAAAACATTGTTATTGTAAGCGTGCTTGGGTTGGAAAATGTGACTGAGTGACTTGTTTGTTTTTGGAAGGCATAATGTACATTACACATTCCTTAATGCTGCACTGTCTGAAATGTGTAGCTGGTTTAAAAGTAAATATCAATTAACCTCTAGGTTTCTGCCACATAAACACCCAACCAAACATTAAACCACATATTCACCTCTTTCAAAAAGACAAAGGGAGGACTTATGAGCTGTGGAGCAGGAGCTAAGATGACTAAAGAGTCTGCTTAGCTTTCATGGGTGATTGACCACAGTAGAGGCTAACATGACCTGGACAGTAAAGTAACATTGCCATTTTCCACACTCCAATCGCTTCAAGTATCTTAGAAAGCTAATAGAAAGTTCTGTTGTATCTGCCTCCATGTACAAACCTCCTTATATCTCCCGTTCATCTCTTTTTCTTGCAAGTGCTTCATTTTTTTGTATTAATAAAGTTTCATTATTATGAGGTATATAAAAAAAGGATGGAGTAATACATTCTAAGATTCCAAAGAATAAGTGGATAGATGGCCTAATAATGTCGGGGGGTTGGGAGGGAGACTTTGAATGCTGTAAAACATTAAAAGAACTTAAACAAAAAGGACTATTGGTTGAGAATGCCTATTTTAATTTTGAAAAAGTGTTTTTAGAGGAACCTGGGAAATGTCCTAAAAATACAAATTTGTTTCTGTACACTATTCACTAATAAGTCAGAAACAAAGTCAGGAAGAAATAGGGAACACTGCATTCATTCATTTATTCGCCCATTCATTCAGGTGACATATTTATAGAAATGTGGGTTATATGAGCAAATGGTGGGGTAGAGCATAGAAAAGAAGTAAATATATTTAAAGGCCAATCTTCTTCATCTGAAGATCTATAGATGTGTTTGGCTACCAATTCTGAGCTATCATCCAAAACCTATAAAAGATAGCCGATGAGGTATCGCACATAAAGGCTTCCACTTATAATCTTGGGCAACAAAACGCATTTTAGTTTGAAACATGCCTGACAGTTCAAATGATTCATGGAAGAACTTTATTTTTTAAAAAAAAAAATCACACAGCCAAGGTTTTAAATCTACAGAGAAAGTTTTCCAAAGGTATGTAAAATATTAATTCAGATGAAGACAAATTAATTGCATGGCAAAATAGTAGAAAAGCAAACTGGTGATTCTCTGTAGTTGATATATTATAACCTTCCTTAACCAAATGCTCTCCTGGCGTTTTGGGTAAAAATTCCAGGATTCCCTACTGCTATTATCAATAATGCTGGAAATTGTAGTGGAAAGAATAGGAAATCAACTATAGATATATAATTATTGGTATAATACTTTGTTTTGTGCTAGCACCACTATCTAAAATATTAGGTAAGGTTTCTTCACCCCAATATTTTATATATTTTGGGTGATTCTTTTAACGTTATGGTAATGTTTATAGTATGTTATATTTTGATATGAGTAAAATTTAAAAATCAAACATTATGTTAAACCATCTAGAACAGGGGTGTCAAGCTTGCAGCCCATGGGACAGATGTGTCACGCCCTGGCCACGCCCACCCCATTTTAGCAAAGGGGGGAAAGTTCCAATACGTCACGTGATGACATGTCGTCACGAGTTTGACAACTGATTTAGAATCAGATGTTAATGAAAAACAATATACATAAACCCAATAATATGCAAAACCATGAGCTGTGGTGGCGCAGTGGTTAGAGTACAGTATTGCAGGCTAACTTTGCCCACAGCCAGATGTTTGTTCCTGACCAACTCAAGGTTGATTCAGCCTTCCATCCTTCTGAGAAGGAAAAATAAGGACCTAGATTATTGGGGGGCAATATGCTGACTCTGTGAACCGCTTAGAGAGTGCATTATGAAGGGGTGTATAAGTCTAAGTGGTATTGCTGTCTCTGCATTGTTACTAATACTTGCTCTATTTTCTATTTTAAAAACTTATCATTCACAAATACCATGGGCCTTATTTTCATCATTTTTCCATCGTGGCAACAACTACATTGTTGTATTTTATCAAAATAAATTTGTGATGGTTGCAGAGAAGGACTTGCTATGACAGCTGTATTTCACTGAGCATTTTATGAAATAACATCATGCTTACAGTATCCAGGTGTGTTCGCTGATGCTTAGCCCGGTCACTCGAGTTGCTGAAAGCTTTCTGGCAGCCAGGATGCTGACAAAGATAAGGCTTCTCACCCGTATGACTTCGTAGGTGGATCTTAAGATTTTCAAGCCGAGAAAATGCTTTGTTACATCCTTCAAACTGCAATAAAGCCATAAAAAACTCTGTAAACCTTTATTAAATAAACCATAATATCCTATAATGAATACAATATTTAAAAGACTATCCAAAGTGGGCATGCAACAAATCAACCAGAATCCAGAACATCTGCTAAAATTTATGGATGAAACACATTTGGCTTTGCTGTTTGAATCTTTTACTATGAATGGCACATGGGCTGGTAATACTGTTTTCACATATGTATAGTGTTAAGCCTCCAAAACATGGCATTAAATAAAGGAGCTTAAGCATTACGAAAAAACTACTAGATACTTACCAATAACTAAATTTCTTGGAGTGGTGTTCACATGCATGAGGTATATCCCTGCACAGAGCACATTTGGAAGCTTCTAATATTTACATAATTTCTTG